AAAAAACGAAAAGCAGTCACTATTGTGCATATTTGGGACAGTAAGAAAGGTATACTTATTACTGCAAGAGCATCTGCTGGTAAGGACCTCAGACAACTTCAATTTAAAACAGGCTATAGATACAAGTGCTGTCAATTTAAGGCGTGATTGAAGGTCATTCCAGAATGAAAAAGATTCCTTTTTCCAGCCTCAGTCCGCACAGCAGGTACCTGGAACCGTATCCAGGCACTGGTTCTGAGGTTGTAAGAGTCACAAACTGGAGCAAATCTGGCACATATGTACAGTGGAAGTATAAATGGCTAACCAGACAGCACATTACTCCGGCTAGGTTGCACCACTTTAATCCTAATATTCCTGATATATGCATTACATGTAACAACGTGAAGGGGTCGCTCTTTCATTGTATGTGGGAGTGCCCACAAATAATCTCCTTTTGGGAAAGGGTGTTAGAGCTGATCAGGGTGGTTATTGGTAAAGAAGTACCTCTTGATCCTAAATTGTGTATCCTGAATATATACCCTCATGACTTTGTAACTTCCAAGAATGTAAGGTTTCTGCTCAATGCTTGCTTTTTGGAGGCTAAACGGTGCATAGCTCGCACATGGAAGGAACCATCAACCTGTGGACTTTCTTAATGGCTGAAAGGGATTACTTTCTACCTTGCTCTTGAAAAGATACATATTTTCCTTAAAAACAAACTGGATACGTTTTGGGAAATCTGGAAAACCTTTTCCGACTTCCTGGAGCATAATGGTCTACAACATGATTGGGAGAATGAAGACACTTGAATATTATTTCGGCTGTGTTTCTATTTTCTTTTCTTCTTTCTTTCTTTTTCTGTTTTGTTTGTTTTGCTGATAGTACGTAAAGTCTGTCTTGTTTATTAAGTATTATTTCTACGCATAAAAACTAATAAAGAGATGTTGAAAAAACAAAAAACTTGAATTATAGTAAAATGGTTTAGTCTGTTGGTTGCCAACCAAGAATTCAAATTTCTAAGAAATAGATTCTGACGCTTTGTGAGATGCTTAATAGAGTAGAAATGATAGAAAAATGATAAATACAAATAAGAATAAAGAACATTGAACATGTAGGTCTATGATATTTATTACCCACCATTTTAATCTTTAACAATGTGTTTCATATTATAAACGTTTATAACAATATATTTAAAAAATAGTATTTTTTGTAAATATCTATTTTTTAAAGTAATATTAAATACATGTAGTTTATAACTTAAAATAGTTCTGTCTTTAATGTAGTAACGTAGTCGCATGAAATAAAAATACTGAAGTAACGATTAGATTAATAAAATGCTTATAAAATGTTTTTTCTGGTAAGTTTTTCTCCCTTTATTATCTCCTTGTAATAATTTAACACTCGTAAAAAAGAGACATCGTTGAAAAAGTGGACCCTATGCAGAGTTATTGTACAGCAGCACCACCTGTTGTTCACATGGGGGACTACTGCCGGAAGATACCACCGGATGTTTGCCTTAAATCGCGCGATATCAGGCTTAACGAGACTTCTGCTCGATCTTTCCTTACTGAACTTCAGGCAAGATGGTAGGTGTTCAACCGATTGTGAATCCTGTAAAACTACAATCTATAAGCATCCGAGCTCTAAAGTCACTATTTATGATAGTTGACCATGGCACCCGACAATTATAACTGTTCACTCACCTTTCCGAACGATATCTATACTGCCAGTGTCAGATCAATGTGTTTTTAAATGCAACGTATTAGCCTGGGCTATGGCTGCTCGGCTAAGCTAACCCGGTATTTCAACGTAGTCTGTACCCATAGCTAAATATGATATTATTTTTAGTGTCATTGTTGGTCCGAGCGAATGTTCAGAAAATGCTCAACAGTTTTATTAAATTCATTTTTGTTAAAGGCATGTGTGCATTAGTTTGAGTGTACAAAACACATACTTAGCTTGGATGCTGTATCTCTTTTTCAGGCGGAAACCGAGATCAAGAAGAAGCGTACCTTCAGGAAGTTCACCTACAGAGGTGTGGACCTGGACCAGCTCCTGGACATGTCCTAGTAAGTGATGTTAAAACAGCTTATGCAGATGTTGTTCAGCTGGAGACATTGCATTACCTGTTCTTAGTTACATTAGCTTGTAAACTTGCATCCTGCTTTCCAAAACAGTGTTAAACCATCGCTTAGTCAATGATTAAGTCTCTCACTTAGCCACTAAACGGGTGATTTGTTGTCTCGTATGAGACATTTCTCAGATTTGCAAACTGTTGTGGTGATGTGCTAACCTAGAGATCCACAATCATTACACTGAAACAGAAAATAAATGTTATCAGTTCCAGATGTTCCATCCAAAGTGAATGTTATCAAGGTTTAAGGCTTTTATTGGTCATACGTACATAGCTACAGTGTAGTTAAGACAATGGAAATCTTAGGTCACAGGCTCCTCCAACAATGCAACACAATAAAACAGAAAAAAATGTGCAAGTAAATACAAAAAGAGAAATGGTGCAATAAGAGTCTATATACAAGTGATTGGAATATTATATATTAGATCCAATATCATTATACAATTGCTACCACATTGTCAATCTGCATGTCATAGAACACCTATTATTTTAAATATGGCAGAGCTTCTCATTGATCACATTGTCCACTTTCTGTCCAAAGTGAGCAGCTGATGCAGCTGTACTGTGCCCGCCCCAGGAGAAGGATGAACCGTGGCCTGCGCCGCAAGCAGCAGTCCCTCCTGAAGCGCCTGCGCAAGGCCAAGAAGGATGCTCCCCCCATGGAGAAACCAGAGGTGGTGAAGACTCATCTGCGAGACATGGTCATCCTGCCTGAGATGGTCGGGTCCATGGTTGGAGTGTACAACGGCAAGACTTTCAACCAGGTTGAAATCAAGGTGAGGGGTCTGGTGGGATGGAGAGAATGTGTATATTTTGAGACCTTACATGGACTTCCTGTTCATCGCCTTGGCCAGACTCCTGCAAACGAATGCAATTTGAGGTTCCAACAAAGTTTGACTTCTGGTGGAAATTATACAATTTAAAATGCATAATATTAGGTAGGAGTATATTGTTTATGTAGAGTAGGCTGTCAGATGTCAAAGCACCAAAACTAGTGCTTTTTGACATTGACTTGTCCTAGTTCCATCTAAGCGTGGGTCTGCGCCTTGTCTATAAAGCCGTTATCACCCATTAAGTAATGTCAGGACAGTCGGCATATAATTGAAGTTGTGGACTGTTTTTTTTTTATCTTGGTTGTAAATAATACTTTGCTGAACAGTATGATGAAGATTGGGAACAGGCTACATTTCACAATGATTCCATTAAATCATTATGTAAAAGGTGGTTGACACGTTTCTTTAAAGGGGACCTATCATGCAAAATGCACTTTTTGATGTCTTTTATACATAAATGTGTGTCAGGGAACTCCCAAAGTGTCAGAACATAAAACCCTTTCTCTTTTCCTCCGTGCGCAAATCTCTAAAAACGGGGGGACAACGGAGCTGATCCAGATTTGCCGACCCACGGCACTATCGGAAACGTCGCTGTATCAGAAACAATTCCCGATGTGTTTTGGATGTAATAGTCTTTGTTTACATTAGCAAGCATCGCTAACACTCAGAGCTAAGCTGTACTGGAGAGAGCATGTGAAAGAAGCAGGATATAAAAAGGAACTCACCTTGTGGTAAACCAGCAAGAGAGAAAGCCTTTGAGCTCCATACTGTTTCAGAAATAATCCTTGCATTTCATCACCGCAGCATTTTAGACAGTATCTGCCAGGTCCCTCATGAGCCGGCATAAGCTCCGCCCCTCCTTATTTATTTTTCAGTAATAAAAATAAGCTTTATACCCAGAATCAGTACTTTTGTAACAGGAAGTGAAATAGAGGGATATGAGGAATGGCTAGAATGGGTGATCTGTTTGGTTTTTTGTCCAAAACACACCGACGTGTTGGAAATCAATGCATCACATACATAATCGTCAAGTTGAAATGGTTTTCAAAACTGATTTCTGGAAATGGGCGTGCCACCCTGCGGAATACATGACCGCTAATCACTTGACCAAAGAATGGCAATGTTTAAAATTGAGTCAACATCAAAGTTATGAAAAGAAAAGGATATTACAGGAAAAAGACAGCAGATAAAAACCTTTCCTACAGGAAGATCATTTAATAACATGGTAGTGTTTGCAACTGACTTTAATTATAAAGTTATATCTAGCTTTTTCATCTTTTATTTTCTTTATTTTTAAGAGCTGCCTAAAATCACACATTTTGTCATACATCAGATTATGATTAGCAACTACAACATCACTGTTCTTGCAGCTGTTAGTGCACAGCATGTATCTTGTTGCTAACGTGTTTCTCCTCTCCACAGCCTGAGATGTGCGGACACTACCTGGGCGAGTTCTCCATCACCTACAAGCCAGTCAAGCACGGTCGCCCCGGTATTGGAGCTACACACTCTTCTCGGTTCATCCCTCTGAAGTAGAAATGCTGTATTCTTTGTACAAATAAAACAAAAACTGGTTGTTCCACAAAACGTTTCTGATTTTCTTTTTTAAAGCACATTTTTAAAAATAACCGTTGGTTGCCTTGATAAACTATGGATTGCTTCCAGGTATCTGAAATAATAGAATGGGTTTTGCTCTGTTGTGATGAGTAGGGCGAACCTGAAAGACAAAACATTTAGCTCACCATGAGACGGCAAGAGCCATTAGGAAAATAATTTGTTGTAAAGAACATGAAAATCTCATGCATGTAACAGAAAAACCACAGTGTACATTGTACTCTTAACTGGTTCATTGATTATTACTCTACCATCATGACATTTTGAGTCTTTATCTTGACGTGAAATCTGGTAAAGAGTTATAAATGTCACAAATATTTGCCAGAAATTAGAGTTAATATGTGGTGTAAATAAATATATCTGGATATCGTGTTGTCTCCACCAGCTGGCGTCGGCAGAGCGGCGGTGCGCCCCTGAAAGAGTTCCGGGCTGTACTACAGCAGGCGAAGGTTCCTATTGCTTACGATCCGAGAGCCAGCTACATTTTGTCTGGCCGCTCTGGGCCATGGATACAACCTTTAGCAGTTCCACAATCTGTTTATTGTCACCAAGCTAATAACATCAATAATTTGGTTAAAGAAACAGTGACCAGTTTGGTAAGTATTCTACTTTATGTCCGCTTGTTTTGTAGGGACGGTGGACTTAACGTATGTTTTTACAGAAAACCAGCAAACCGCTAGGTAGCGACTCGCTAGCTTGATAGCTAGCTAACGGTAGATAGCTAGCTAACGGTAGATAGCTTCAGAGCGAAATGACAGAAGAGATCTGTCATGTCAAAATGAAGCTAAGTGAGATTTTTAAAAACATTGACACGGTTTGTTAGCTAATACTTCTTACAACGTAGGGTCTCATAATTCACCGCCAACAGTGACTTACGTCAGCACCGTTTAAAATGTTAACGCATGAATATGCCGGTGTTATTCCGAGTGTGAGTGAGTTGAAATCCGAGAACAAAGCTCTGTTGTAGGCTAGCTAACTGTTCACATTAACGGTAACGTTACTGGTGTTTAACTGATTAACCCAACGTATTTCTCCTACTCCTAGAATTAAAATGACTAGACTATAAAGTAATCCGATGAGCCGCGTAGGGCCTTTCCATATAACGTTACATACTGCAGTGTAATTCATTCAATTTTAACATATTTTACCTAATAATACTGAGGCCATGTTAGGTTAAAGTTTAATGTTTTCAGGGGAGGAATTAAGAAGAATACAAACAGTAGGTTGGCATAAGGTTCTGATTACATTCACTTTAACAGATCTACATGTTGGTTAATCTCATTTATAAATAGTACCTCATCAGTCTGATGCATTATGCTGTAGGGGCCAGGTGACACTTTAACCTTTGATACTGGTACTCTTAAGCGCAGATGTAAAGTGCTCCACCACAGCTTCATACTAGCCTGCCATAACTTCCTCACACTAACATAAGAAAGTCCTGTGGTGGAAGAATTGCTAAAATATTGTACTGAAGCAAAATCAGAACCACGAGAGTGTTAAAATAATAAAGTAACTGGTAAATAATTTAGTCAGATAAATGTAGTGGAGTAAAGAGTAAAATATTGTCTTGTAAAATGGAGTAGAAGTATAAAGTAGCATACAATTAAATACTCAAGTTACCCCAAAATTATACTTAAGTACAATACTTGAGGAAATGTACTTCAATACATTACATTACTGAGAATGGCACTTCAGTTATTTAGGTTGCGTGATTTGACCCATTGCTGTTTGTGTTATACCAATCCCCTACAACACTGAGGGATAAAGAAGGAATGTGGGATATTCTGTGTAGCTTGTCTGTCCGTTGCCTCAGGCAGGGTTGGAGACATACATCCAACACATGAGAAATCTGACAGGAAGTATGATCCTTAATTGTCCCTCTTGTGTGTAGCACTGGCCATATGGCTCCATGTTTCTTAACCTTAATACACTTGAAAGTCTTGTGTATGATTTATGTTTTTTCTCCACATCGTGTTGTAGTCTGAAAACTATGGAAGCCTGTTTGCGCCAAACAGGCTTCCATAGAAAACTGATGTAACAGATAAATCACTAAAACTTTCCCCTAACCATGATTGTATAATGTTTCAAGAAAGGGGACTGACACATACAATAGTATATGGTCAAAACAAGCTTTCATAATGAGTAGGGGTGTAATGATGCATCAACCTGGATGTAATTAGATTGTATTATCAACGATCTCAAAGATGATATAATTATCACTATCAGTGACCAACATTGATGCAGAAGCAAAACATCACTAAAAATCATCATATTTCAGATAAACCTTCATTTAGAAAATCCCATGGCACATTAGTAATACAATTGTCAAATAATACTAGTTCCTTTTTAAACGGATATATGTTATCATCTCATATTGATCACAGACCAGTGAATCTCTCTAAATTAAACTTTATCGACCAGCCTACCAGACTTTGTGGTATAAGAAAATGTTTTATTGTGGTGCAAAGATTCCAAAAAGAGTGTAGCATGATACATGTCATTACACCCCCATATGAGGCTGTACCCCTGTTTACCCTTTTTGTTAATTTTCTCATTTTCAATAATCTTTATGCTGTACTTTGTTCACAGGTTCACAGAATAAGAGTGAGGTGTGTTGACCGGTGAATGCATAGAGTCAAGAAGGTTCAACTTTGTGACAATAAAGGGGGTACCTGGAAAAGGTAGGTTCATGCTATAGCTCCTTTAATTGCGTTTATGCTTAGGAGGGTGGAGGAATACACATTTTCACCTATGGCATTCAAGGAATGCATATTTAAGCCTGTGTATCTCTTACTATGTATTTCTAATGTCAACATCCAGCTGTGTGACCGTGAGCATGACGGCTGTGGATGGCCTTTCGGACAGCACCGAGGTAGTGGAGATGGAGGACGGCCCATCTCAGTTTTATGTGGAGAAACACTCTTGGGAGGGCCTCCGTGACATTATCCACTGTAGCAGAAAATACTCTGGAATGATCGCCAACAAGGCTCCTCATGACTTCCAGTTTGTGCAGAAGAAGGATGAGAATGGGCCCCACTCCCACCGGTTGTACTACCTCGGTAAGTCGATTGACGTGTAACCACTAAATAATATGTATTTTCTTTAAACTATTTCCCTGTACTCTTTACAATAGTCCTTAGTCATGTCTTCCTGCTTTAGTCAGCAGGATATGATTGCCTCACGGACATATTAAACAATTACTGTGTCAGATTTCAGTTTTTCCACTGAGCAAAAGCCTCTTTGTTTGTTGTTGTTGTTGTTGTTGTTGACATTTCCTTTTGTGTCTTTTCTATGTGCTTACCAGGAATGCCTTATGGAAGCAGAGAGAATTCATTACTCTACTCAGAAATCCCCAAGAAGATCCGGAAAGAGGCCCTCTTAGTGTTGTCATGGAAACAGATGCTGGATCACTTTCAGGTGATTTCCCTTTCTCTTCCTGTTCGTGCAGTGCCAGTACCAAACAGCACTGCGGGATATAGCTCACAGTTAGTTCTTATTAGCCGCGTTTAGTACTTTGACTGTAACCTTTTTTTACTTTAAAGCAGTCCCTAAAAGAATCACTGTTTTTTTAAAACATGGGATATGATCAGAAACAATTCAGAAAGATTAAGCAACAATCTCATCTAACATGAATTAAATACGTCTCTGTCTGTCCTTCAATTTTCTCCAAACCCCTTCATCTGATTGACTTCATACTTGGCGGGTGTATTACTGAGTAGCTAAGGTAGCGCAGTGTCGAGTGCAACTCTAGAAGGGACATATTTATTAGAAGTGTGTTATGTACACATTTTTGTTGAGAGGGTTTCCTTTTAACTGTTACTCTGCCGAGCGGCATTCCGGGTACAGTTCGCTCTCCGATGATGTGACAGGGGGTCTTAAAAAGTATTAAAAGTTGATAAATCAATTTAGCGAAAATGTTCCAAGGTATTAAGAAGGTCCACAGCAACGACAACATGAAACACCCTTTAATTTACTGCAACGACATGTCGGGAAACCCCCTCAAGCATAGCGTGCAGTAAATTTCTGATTCTTATTTTAAGTTTCGTTGCCTTGCTCCGCCTGGGGGGGAGAGTGTTTTGGGGCGCCACTGATGGTGATGAAAGCTGGTTCGAGGGGCCCACAGACTCTAGAATTGCCACTGTCGATGGGGATCAAAGCTGTCCGGTCCCACATGCTAAGTAATAGCCAGAAAGCCGCGGCGTTTAAGTTCCGACTCTCCCGATAGTCAATCCGTGCCTCCCCTGACTGCAAGTCGTTGCAGACTCTCTGCACGGAGGAGCAGCGGAGTCCGGCCGATGCTGCTCCTCCAAGGAAGAGACACACGTTCACTAAGTCGAACTATATCCGGTCACAGTGATCTGCTATTTTAAAGTAAAGTCAACACATATCGACCCTAAATATAGTCTATATTAAGAACGAGAAAAGTGTTAACATATATATCGTTTTTTGTTTTATCTCTTGGGAACAATGCCTAAATCAAATACTAGGCTTACTTTCTAATGGTTTCTTTTTCTAATAAACCTTGCATTGGGTTAGTCACACAATTCATTCTCTTGTGCTTTGTTCTATCTGAATTATGATAAGGAGTTATCACAAGCTGTTTAGTTGTGCTATCTTACAATCCATACTGTATAGTAAATGTGAGGTAAAGTGTGTCGCCAAGGTAACCGGTTAGAACTCAAAGTGGCGATGAGGTCTTAAAATGTATGGAAAGGGTCTTAAAAAAGGTCTTAAAAGGTATTACATTTGACTTCAGGATTCCTGCATATACCCTGTTATCGCTTTTCTAGAAAAGGAAAGAGCTGTTATACAGCAGGCCAAGCTATCGTCCCGCTCGGAACAGCCAGGTTTTGAACAGGCGCTGCTCTAGTAGTAGAAACTATGAGAGGAATGTTTGCACTGTACAACCATTGTATGGTTATTTGATCAGTGGGGTCAGCTGAATGTGGATCTGCCACGTATATATCACAGTAATGAAACTGTCTATGTGAGCACACTAAAATGTACCATATAAATCTTGCAAACTTCTATAAAACACAATTCTTTAATCTAGTCTAATACTGTGCATCTGATTGTTTTTGCTTCTCTAAGGCTACACCGCACCAGGGGGCCTACTCCCGAGAGGAGGAGCTGCTGAGAGAGCGAAAGCGTCTCGGAGCCTTTGGGATCACCTCCTATGACTACCACGCCCAGACGGGCCTGTTCCTCTTTCAGGCCAGCAACAGCCTCTTCTACTGTCAGGATGGAGGCAGCAACTGCTTCCTCGTGAGTACACTGCAGTTTTTGAGTAGACAGTAACAATCAATATGGAATACGATGTAACCATGAATAAATAATACACCCTCTTTTGGTTCAATACGATACGTTCATGACATAATAACATAATCACTGTTATCGTTTGGTTTGAATCAATATTGTTTTGAGTGCATCTTGAGTGCATATGAGCTTCTTTGCATTGTGTTTGTTTCTCCCGTAGTGCCCTAAGCAACTCTAATAAGCTACTTAAATGGGCTATCAACCTTTCTTGTGGTGTTTCTCAGATTTTTAACTACCTTCAAATATTGGACTATATTTATGACCTAGATGATTCCTCATTTTCTTTGTGGGTTGACTAAGATATGATTTGAGTCTTCCCATATGTACAGTCATTTCCATGGTTGTACATTCTACCAAAAAACAAGAGACAGCTGAGCTTTGAGAATGCTTTCTGATGGAACCTCAATTTTCTCACCGTACCATTTTATTGGCTGTAAAACTGTCCACATTACAGACGATGCTTACTCTTGTGTTTTTGCCTCGGACTAAGACTGTGTGTTGGTTTTAGCAGTCTGCTCCTGTAAAGCCTGTGGAGATCAAGACCCAGTGCTCAGGGACACGCATGGACCCCAAGATCTGCCCTGGAGACCCCGACTTCATAGCCTTCATCAACAACAACGACCTGTGGATTGCCCACATTAAGACTGGAGAGGAAAGGAGACTCACTTTCTGCCACAAAGGTCAGAATGCAATATATAGCTTCATACTGTATGCAGGAACAAGCTCTTGCACTGAACATAGGGCTGTGCATTTAAAAAGATTGTTTTGATTTTGATATAAGATGATTTCAGTTTTCCCTATTTATTCCTACTCATCTTATGCAACATGAGAAGAAAACACCATTAAGATGCCTTAAAAGTGCACAGCATTCAATAATTGCTAATGTCCAATAACACTACATTAATGAAAGCCTTATTTCTTAATTTTTGTTTCCAGGTTTGGATAATGTTAAGGAGGACCCGAAGTCTGCAGGTGTAGCAACGTTTGTCATCCAGGAAGAGTTTGACCGTTTCACCGGCTACTGGTGGAGTCCTTCAGCAGTGGAAGGTAATTCTTATGCCTTTAAGCCAATTTTTTTAAACATAAAGATTTGTTTTTAACTATATAGTTTGACCTTTATCGTTTAGATAAATTAGTTTTTCATTTGCATACGTACAATAATTACTGTATGCATTTGCCTTACATTTCTTTCCCCACCAGACCCTAGTGGAGGTAAAACAGTGTACCTGCTGTATGAAGAGGTGGATGAGACAGAAGTAGAGATTATTCATGTTCCATCTCCAGCACTGGAAGAGCGGAAAGCAGACGCATACAGATATCCTCGTACAGGTCAGTGTAACTCAGTGCCGGCCTTACATTACACACACACACACACACACACACACACACACACACACACACACACACACACACACACACACACACACACACACACACACACACACACACACACACACACACACACAAGCTTGGCTCAGTCTATTTCTATCATTTGACATTTTCCCTATTTCTTTATTTGCAGGTAGCAAAAATCCCAAGGCTACCCTTAAACTGACAGAGATCAAGACAGACCAGCAAGGAAGAGTGAGTCTTTCACTACTTTTCTTATTTAGTTTTCTCTTCTCCAAAAGGACAATAAGTAATCCTTATGTGTTTTTACCGTTGTGCTTTGCAGATCTTGAGCACGCAAGATAAAGAATTGGTCGCCCCCTTCAACTCCTTGTTTCCTGGGACAGAATACATCGCCAGAGTAGGATGGACGAGTGACGGCAAATAGTGAGTGTGACTGTCAGATGATATTGTTTTTCAGGATTTCAAATTGTTATGTGAATGGACAAGATGGATCCTCTTGTTTCTAATAAAGCAGTTTTCTGTATAATGCAACCTTCTGAGTTCTCTCCTCTCTGTGTCCCTCAAGTGGCTGGGCAGTGCTTCTGGACCGCAGTCAGAGGAGGCTACAGCTGGTCCTTCTGCCTCCAGCGCTCTTCATCCCGGTCACAGACGACCCGGCTCAGAGGCAGGAGAGTCTGGAGACCGTGCCCACTAACACACAGCCATACATAATCTACGAGGAGACCACAGACGTCTGGATTAATGTAAGTCTTTCCACATGGCACACTCTTTGATTCCCTTAAAGGTCTCCTATCATGCAAAATGCACTTTTTGTATGTCCTCTATACATAAATATGTGTCCCCGGTGTGTAGGGTTGGGAACCGAAACTCGGTTCCAGATGAGAACCGATAAGAAAATGCCGGGTACCGGGTACCCATACAAAATACACAATTTCGGTTCTGCTTAACGGTTCCTAAACGCGGTAGACCCTGTATTCCAGCGGGTCCGTCTGCACCGCGGTGCTGCGGTGACCCGGTGGAATACAGGGCGGACCTGGAGAATCACAGAACAGCCGGTCGTCAGCGGGCCGTTGACGGCCGGCTCGGTACGCTGACGGCCGGCACTGCCCTTCATTTTTTTAAACGGCATCATATAAATTTCGCTGACAGGCGACAGAGGTCCACAGTTGCCCCGCAGCGATGCTCCCCCGCCCTCCCGTAGACATTTCACGAGCTCAGTCACTTCATAACACCAAAGATAGGTCGCGGTAAACACTCTGAAGTGAGGCTCCACTACACTAAAAAAGAAAAAGAAAAGGCAAAGTGTAATGCCTGTTAATAGCTTGCCACAGGCATAGCTCCGTTAAAATAAAGCACAACTATTGTGCAATACATTTGTATTGCATGTATATTTTTTAGTAACAATTTCAGTTAAAGCTTTTAAGAATACATATATTTGTGTTATCTAAACGTTTGACCTCTTTATTTTACAATTTTGGAATCGAAACGGGGAATCGATAAGAACCGGAATCGATAAGCAGAACCGGAATCGAAATCGGAATCGATAAATTTCAAACGATACCCATCCCTACCGGTGTGTCAGGGAACTCAGAAAGTGTCAGAAAACAAAACCCTCCAGACCCAAATCTCTAAAAATGGGTGTACAACGGAGCTGATCCAGCTTTTGCTGCCGATATGACGTAATATCGGAAATGTGGGCTGGCTTTACGCCCACGGCCCTATCAGAAACGTTGCTATCAGAAACAATACACACCGTTTTTTTGGACGTAATATAGTCTTTGTTTACATTAGCAAGCATTGCTAACACTCAGAGCTAACCTGTACTGGAGAGAGTATGTGTAAAGAAGCAGGAAATAAAGAAAGGAACTCACCTTGTGGCAGTGGCGAGCCGTCAGGGCCCTCTAGGCCCTCTGTGAGGGCCTAAGATATTCTAAAAAATAATATTTGAAAACATTAAAAAAAAAAACATTTTTTTTAAAAATATTGTTTTTTATATTTTTTTGTTGTTACATTTTTCATAAATGTTATCAAAAATAACTTGATTTAATTGTATTTAAAATAATATTTCCAAAGAAATAAATCCTTCGAATCTGCCTGTTCAGTTTCTGTTGGAATGTGAAGGGTTAAATGCCGTCTCTGCGAGTTATGTGAAGACGGGAGAGCTTGTTGGTCCCTCTCTACATTCACAGAGGGCCAGCTTTAGTAACTCAATGAGAGAGTAATGTCAAATGACAGTACAATTGACCAATCATATCTTCCCTCTAAATGGGCGGGCTTTATTTTCGCGGACTTTATGACAGGTTCCGCCCGCTGTGAGGTCTATGCATGGATGTATAATAAGTATGTAGGATGTATAATGGTCTATGCAAGTGGTGCAGTGACGCATCCTAAAACCCGGAAGTAAGCTTCGCTCGGATTCCCTCGACAGAAAGCAACGGGATTTCTCCATAGGATTTTGGAAAATAGCTCGAAATAAGGTCTGTGGAAAACGAACCTGTTAGATAAATGCACGTTGTGTTCAGCCGGATAATATCCACATGTCTATCCTACTTTTACTATTTTTGAATCATAAATCTAAACGATAGATTTATGATCGATAGATTTATGATTAGCATAAGTTCGTTCATGATGGCTCACTTCAGTGATAGTGATGACATCGTTGCGAAATTATTAACCGAGTCATTTTCAAGATTGAGTTACAATGATAAACTGGAGTGGCAAAGGATCAGCTGAATGACCCCGCCACCAAGTGCTTCATCCAAAAGGACAGGAGGATGGACTTTGTGTTTCAGTGATTTGATCATCAAAGGTAGGCCCAAGTCATTTTCAATGCGGGCCGCCGTGCCGACTTAATTCATTTGTAATTGTTACTTGGCTGTGGGTGCCCTGTCATGATAGGTGTTGATATAAATGGTGTTGTTCTGTGTGGTAGAGGGTCGCTGTCATTGATGCGTTTTGCACCCCGGACCACTGTTTTGATATTCCGCTGAAGTCTACGTTGAGACGTAATATCTCTTCTTTTTTTTCGAGGGAAGGGGGGTCAGAGGGCCTAGGTATAAAAGTCACGGCTCGCCACTGCCTTGTGGTAAACCCGTGAGAGAGAAAGCATTTGAGCTCCATACTGTTTCAGATACGGACCCGGAATCAGCGCTTCTCTAACAGGGCTGAAATAGAGGGATATGTGAGGCATGGCTAGAATGGGTGATCTGTTTGGTATTTTGAGCAAAACACTTCATAGATATGTTTTTTATATATCTGAGACCTATAATATATGCCTAAAAATAGTATGATAGGAGACCTTTAAAACCAATGTCCTGTTTCTAATGAAAAATATGTTATTGTTGTGATTGCCTGAACATTTTGTTCGAGAACTGATTATCCTTTTTCTCGCAGGTTCATGATATATTCTATCCCTTTATTCAAACGACAGAAGATGAGTTTAGTTTCATTTGGGTAAACGAGTCTAAGACGGGTTTCAGCCACCTGTATAATATCACGTCCATGTTACAACCGGGCTGCTACCATTGGACGGAGGAATACCAACAGGTAGAGGGTAAGTTATCAGCGATGTTTCTGCATTTATTTGAAATGATTATATCAAGTGTTCGGTATGTCAAGAGCATGTTGTTTCTGTTATCTGTTTTCTGCAGGAGACTTCAAATGTGCAATCAAGGAGGAAGTTACATTGACCAGTGGAGAATGGGAAGTGCTGGCAAGACATGGTTCCAAGGTTAGAGTCCATCAGTGTTCAATATATGGATTTACAGGTATTTAAAGTGCATTATCATTCTAATAATAATAATAATAGTCATTATGATGATCTCAAGCGTAATATAAGGGTGTTATATCTGCATCAGAGGCCTTTCTTGCTTTTTGCCTTCTGTTTTTACATATGTATTGACTGTAATGCAGTCTTATTTGCATTCTTTTACGAGAATTAAAAATATATATAAATCTCTGCTCAGGGTCGCTGTGCTGCTGTCTAAAATTGGAGGACTAATACTCAAACAATTCCAGAAAAGGCTACATTGTTCATCCAATGAGGATCTAAACCAGGGCTCTCCAACACGTCGATCGGGCAGCTTTTCAGTAGCTCGCGGCTCGATTATCGATTATAGCGCAGTAAGGTTGCTTCTTGATTTTTCGGCCGCGGCTGGACAATAACGTTTTTTAATTTTTTCTGTCACACGGATATCAAATCGGTCCGTGACGCAGAGATCAAGGAACAGACGTGACAGCGGCACAGCGACACCACACACGGAGCAGTCTGCTTTCTCCAGCAACACCAGTCCAGAACCAACAGCAGAATGACCCGCTCTGAATCAGTCCGCGTCGCTGCGGCTCAGACACACAGGGAGGGATTTGTGTTTTTTTTTTTTTAAACACTCGTTATCGTAATGTCAGGTTTTTGGTGGATTTAATCAAGTCTTGGATTGCAGAGTATGAATGTCCTCTTGCTATTTACAGTTGATAAATACTTGTGTGAAGTTTGTGAAGGCAGGAGGAAAGCTTCCGTCTCCTCTCCGTTCCTCCAAACCCCGCCCCCTCCTGAAAATAATGAGTGACAGGCTGATAGTGACCTGATAAAAACTTTATTAATCACTTAATCACTGATTGAGATATGATGAAGCTAACTTAATCTCATACATTCATGGGATTAATGTAACAGTAAGACAGAGAATGTAAGTGTGCACCCACATGCACTATTTTTGTTTTTATAATGCTGTTGTAATTACTCCTGTTGTCTGCTGTGTTCAGACTCAAGTCCTGTGTGTGATGCCACATTCAGGACATTCAGTATCCTTTTCTTTAACAGAAGACCGTTGCTTGAAGCTGCAGCTAGACTGCAGAAGCATCAGTTTTTTGTTTTTGAGGATGGAACAATTTCACACACGGAGGCTAGACCTATACAATTGATTTATAATTTCATGTCAAGACGAAGAAGAAGATGAAAAAGATGGCTGAACTGTTCAGTGTCAATCCTGTGGAGATGGAGATGGAGGTTATAAAGTCTCAGCAAAACTCACAACATTTCTGGAGCCTTGTAGACCCAGAAAACGATAAGAACATTCACCAAGCAGCACTGAACACGTCTGCTTTATTTGGTTCTGTTCTACAGACCTTTGTGAAGCAGCTTTTTCTGACATGAATGAAATCTAAATACAGAACAAGACTGACTGATGAACATTTAAATGACTATTAGAGTGAACCTAAGTGGGTACACTCCAGCATACACCTCTATGGTGGACTCCATGCAGCGCCATTCATCTCACTGACTGTAAAAAAGAGTGAATGCACTTATTTGACCATAAGTGCACGAAGCTTGTAAGGTGGTGATTAAGGACATTTATGTGAATTTTCAGTGACTTACTTGCTATGTGGGCCATAATAATATGTGAGACATTTTCGTTTTCTTGGACCTTGATGTGAAGTTAAGATTTGTGATAAGCTTTAGGTATTGCAATTTCACACGTGTACAAAAGTATAGCTTAATTCAACTGATGAGTGCTATGTGAATAAATGTAAGCGATGTGATGCAAGTAGCTCTTGGCCACTTTCATTTTTTCAAAGTAGCTCTCAGATGAAGAAAGGTTGGAGACCCCTGATCTAAACCAAACTGTTATTGTGACTGAAAAACACATTTACCTCGTGTAACCTTTTACAAATTGTATTTAAATCCAGTGCGCTAAACATAAGTCACATTAACATATAGGTGATACAGAGTTTATTTCAAAGATATTTCAGTGTCTCCATCAGCTCTTCACTTCACAGTATCATGGTTCTAATTCACCTTAATGTTTCTGATCTTGTAGATCTGGGTGAACGAGGGATCGAAGTTGGTGTACTTCCAGGGCACCAGAGACACTCCACTGGAGCACCACCTGTACGTGGTCAGCTACGACTCACCGGGAGACGTGGTCCGACTAACCAAGCCCGGCTTCTCTCATAGCTGCTCTGTTAGCCAGGTAAACCATTCATTTATTTTCACATGTCCAAATACGTTGACGGTTCTTCCTATCCAGCTGTTAATATATCCATAAGTAAATGTTTTAGTAAAGGTATATATTGGCATGGTTAAAAAAAGATTGTATATTTTCCTCGGTCAGTTGTGTGTTCTTTATGTCAATGAATTTTTAGAGGTATGTGCAAAGTCTTATAGAACTAAATCCCAACAAGTGAGTTATAGCTGACAGACTTGGATAACACAAATCAAAGGAAAGATATGGAATGGTTTAAGGCAGATCAAAGAGACCACTTCAGTGTTTCCCCTAGGTTTACTGCCTTGGCAGGGTGCTGCTCGGGTACCTGACATTTTTTTTTAAATGTTGAATTTTTTTTATCCTCTGGAGCAGAGAGAGGAGCAGTGGATTATTGTTATTGATATCGTACAGAAACAAAGTATTTGTACATTAAAAAGTAATAAAGTAGGCTACATTGTTACACTGTACTGTATTACTTTTATTCAAACTGTATTGCCTTCTTATCATGTAGCCTACACTTCTTCCTTTCATTGATACATTTAAATCACCTGACTACAGCATATAACATACCTGCTGCAACCCTGTGCTGCTGCTGCTCTCTGCCTCATCCTCTATTGCTGGAGGCAGCTTCACCTCATCTGATCTCTGATATGAAAGCAATCGTGTTATGATCATTGAGCTATTGGTGTGAGTCTAACATTAAACAAGTCATACATTGCTGACGATACATTTTAAGTGGCAATTTGTTGAGACACTGCCGCTAAATGCCGGTAACATTAAGCTAGCAAATCCTGCAATAGCCTCACATCAACAGGTGTAGACAGAACATCCAATTATCCTGAGATAATTTACTGAATAAACCAACTCACATCTCCTGTCTTTTTTTTCACCCAACTCATTAGACTATTCTTCTGCTGGCGTTTCAGTGTTCTTTTCTGTCAAATTCAATACTGTAGTTCAAAACCGCGGTACCTGCTCACCATCGAGCTATTTTTAGAATGCGCACGCTACGGTCGTTGTCGCGTTCGCGCGCGTCCACCTGGGCAGGCTGTGTGTGTCCTTCTCCCGTGACGATAACGGCTTAAGGTTAAAAAATAATAATAATCGAATTTCGAAACTGGGGACACACACACACACACACAAACGGGCAGACAGCAGAGCTCGGGGCAATAATGCAGATTTGTTTGACTTTTTTACACTTTGTTGTTCTCCTCCTTTCATCCGCTGTTGTCTCTGATTGTGAGTGTGTACATTCGTGTGTGTGTGTGTGTGGGGGGGGGGAGAGCGGCCTTCAGAAACAGAGCGGAGGGAGAATGTGAATACGCAAAGCAGTGGACACTGAAACATGCACATACATTGGATAAATAACATAGGCGTTTAGTTTATTTAATAAAAGAGCACATGTTCAATGTGAAAAGTGACCGTAGATAGATTACTTCAGTTGCAATTTGGTGCTATATATATATTTTAAATAAATACAAATACACCTTGAATTTCAGGCGGGGCTCGGTTGGCAGGGCGCAGCGCCCCGCCAAGACAATGGTAGGGGAAACACTGCACTTTACCTGCGTAAGAACGATGCAAGTTAAATCACCTTTAAACCGGAGGAAAGCTGTCAAAGCCAGGGATTGTTTGAATAGTCTGCAGTATTATATGGGATAAAGGTTCTCTGGCTGTCAGCTGTGCTTTACAACAGCAGCTCATGTTGGGCTTTTAAACCCTGATCCTTGTAGAGTGTGGTGTAGCATTGCAATGTCATCCTCTCCTCCCTCAGCCCTTCTGTTCCTTGTCAGTTATATATTTTACATAGTTTTGTATATTTATTATTTTCTCTCTTGCTTCTTTCACCCTGCAGAACTTTGACTATTTTGTCAGCCACTACAGTAACGTGAGCACGCCTCCGTGTGTTCACGTCTACAAACTGAGCTGCTCAGAAGGCGACCCACTACACATGGTACCTGAGTTCTGGGCCAGCATGATGGAGTCACCAGGTAAACAGGATGTGATGCAACCAAGAGCCACACGGTTGTTTTCTGATGAACTCGATATGTAGAGTTTTAACATCATTGGGCCGGTTTCTCCTAGTGAGCAGTTTGGCTGACTTTGAAGGTTGCTTGACTGTCTGTGGATTTTATGTTTGGAATAATCAATAAAGCTCAGACTGTAGGGGAAAGTTGAGGTTTGTTTAATTAGATCAAGGACAGTCCTTTCGATCCACCGCGGCGTCCTCCAGACAATCCTGAGGGCATCCGATAATGTGTTGCACAAACACTTTCGTCATCATGAGAGATTTATGTCAGGGTTCATTGTCGGGTATGATTCTAAAAAAGAGTGAGGAGGCAAAACTTTTAAATAAAACCTCTAGTTTAAAAAAAGTCTAGGGTTCACAGAGTAACTGCCAACGGTGTGATGACTTAGGTGCTGTTTACACGAGAACGCAAACGGTTGTATCCGCACATTTTTTATTTCGTATAGCCCGTTCGTTCACACGAGGCCGTAACGGAAACGCGGAAATGGACCCCGCAAACGATAACGGGTCCCAAGATCTGCAAACGGAACGCTCTGGGGGGCCAAACGGCTCAGTGTGTACGCCCTATACGATCATTTCCTGATAACGATGAAGCCATAGCCTAGCCTCCCTCTCCCCACCTCTGCTGTAGCATGGTCAGTAGCTACTGTCAGTAGCTACTGACCATGCTACAGATGTTAGTGCAAAATCTAGAGCTCCTCTTCCACAACCATCAGGAACAAGTGGACATGGAGAATTACATGAACTACAGGTTGCTAAATCCACCGCGGGGCATAAACAGAAGGGCAACCATAGCAACCATGCTCGGGGGTCTTCTTCGCTGCTTTTGGTGTATTTTGTGGCGGACGTACAGCGCCACTTACAGGCCCGTCATATGTACTACAGCGTCTCCAGCGCTTTTGAGCGGTCTCGTGTGAACGGAAGACTTTTTTGATATCGTATTTGGTTCGTTTGCGTTTCATGTGTGTTTGCGTTTGCGTGTAAATGGGGTCTTAATTCCTTGTTGGTTCCAGAGTATAATTTTACTTTCCACAAGAAAATGTATCAGAAGAAGAGATGCGCAGATTGTAATTTCCTTTTCCCGAAAATAAAAGTTCGGTTCACAAAAAAACTTTCACTCTTACCTAACTTACATTTTCTGAAAAACTGCACCAAGTTAGAAGAACTTCTCTCACTTAAAGGGATAGTGGAAATGGAACCTCAAATAGTTTCGTTTTAACTTATATACAAGCATAATTACGTACCAAAACAATCACACCTGATTAAAAAAATATAATAATTGCCTTACGCATGTTAGAAGCACTTTATTGCAGCTTCCCCGAAGTTTTTTAGAAACGAAATGTTCGACTCAGCCAAACCGGAAGTGACGAAAACTCAGGAAGACGATACGATAACAAACCATGGCGTCTATGCAGAATGAACGTGGAAGGGCAAATATACCAGACAAAGAAGAAGGATTGTACGAGGTATCCAGTGATGATAGCGAGTCAGAAACATCCTCTCGGCTTTCCTACGAAAATGTCGTTTTAGGAACTGAATCTGAATCCGGTTCAGTAAGCGACGATGGTGACAATATTGAGCCAGACGATGGACCATTACGTCCTTATTTGTTCGAGCCCGAGCCCGAGGTGATGGTTCACGGCATGGGCAATGGCGAGGATGACCAGGACCAGGCGCCAGATGATGCACCCCTACGCACAAATAATCTTGACTGGTAGGTCCCTAAGCATAGCTCACGCATCTTAAGATCACCTGTAGCCTTTACAAATATTAATCATTGTTAATCAGTTAAGCCCGAAGGTCCCCCCAGTGGACCCCTCCCACAGTTTTTTTTCTCTCACATGTCTCAGGGCTTCTTAACATTTATGAAACTTAATGTTTCATACCCTTTTAAAGGTAAGAAACTCCGCTAACTGACAATAAGAACAATTGTTAGCTAGAAAAAACACAAGAGTAATACCAAGCCTTTGAATTAGCATTGAGCGAAACAATGCTAACTAATGCTAACGCTTTTTTACACACAACACACGGTAGAAATGCCCTTATTACTATCTTAACTGCACAAACAAGATATACGATTTAAAGCTGAGACTCCACAGGTGTAATGTCATCACTGTAAGACCTCGAATTCCTGGAGCTATCAGCCAGAAAAGAGAAAGTAAACAACATCCGGTTCCAAAAATATTACAATAATTACGTCTTACCTTTTTTGATTTGTGATCAAAAGTTGTGTTCAACGGAATAAAAACGCATCTCAAGGTTAATCCAATGTCGTTGTGTCACGTAGAATTTTTTACTGATAATCAATCATCATATTTATGGCAATATACTCGGTATAAAGTATTGACACATCTATTCACCATAATAAAGGTCGGCTATTCACATGCAAATGCTATTGAATGTCCGCCATTGTTTGTGCCCGTCTTCCTTTGCTCTCGTCATCACCCGAAGATTCCCGACGATTCCCGAAGTATTTCGTTTCATTGAGAGGGCGCAGTAAAATTGAAAATAAAATGAAACTAGGCGCATGAAATTAAAAACAATTGTTTATTATGCTTCTTTTTAATAAAAATACATAAGTTAAACCCAAAATTCGCAGATTTCCACTATCCCTTTAAACACATGCAAAATAAAGTCCTCCCAGTCACCAGGCAAATAAAAATCCAACTGTAAATTAATTACAGTAAATCACAAGTTACATTATTTTAACAACACAGTAAATGTCCTTCTGTCCTCCGTGGCCTATTTTTGCAGTACAAATTGCTCCCTTGTATTTTAGCTTTTTTTAATACACTAAATCCATCATATCGTTTTGCAGGCCAATTACCTCTTCTAGTAGTTGCCCCACAATCCCTGATAGTATGAGATAATGCTAACCTAATGATCACATTTATGTCTTCTAGGTTGCCCAGGAGATTACAATCCACCTGAGATTTTTGACTTTGCAGGAAAGTCAGGCTTCCAGCTTTATGGGATGGTATACAAGCCTCACAACATGCAGCCAGGCAGGAAGCACCCGACTGTTCTGTTCGTGTATGGAGGCCCACAGGTTCGTGGATACATTCAGTTTAATCTGGATCTATGATGGGTTCACAATATATTACAAATCTGTTACAATGTTTTGTGTGTGTGTGTTCAGGTTCAGCTGGTGAACAACTCCTTCAAGGGGATGAAGTACCTCCGTCTGAACACACTGGCCTCTCTGGGCTATGCTGTGGTCGTCATTGATGGGAGGGGTTCCTGTCAGAGGGGGCTTGAATTTGAAGGAGCACTGAAAAACAAAATGGTAAACTAATATAAGATGCATAAATAACTTCAGAAGGGAATTTTATTTGAACCAACAACAATAATACCAAGAGCATAAGCATGATTTCCAGTTTAATTAATACTACAATTGTTCTATTGTGTTTTCAGGGTCAGGTGGAGATTGAGGACCAGGTGGAGGGGCTGCAGTACGTGGCAGAGAAGTTTAACTTTGTGGATCTGAGCCGTGTAGCCATTCACGGCTGGTCCTATGGCGGTTTCCTCTCTCTCATGGGGCTCATCCAGCGACCCAATGTCTTCAAGGTTAGTCCTTCAGCCCGTCTTTAACCCTTTAACCATACACACTCTTTCTGTCATCGATCATTCTCTGCTGTAGAGAAGGGAGAAATAAAGCATTAAATAGGGATATTTTGAATCACCATGTAATGCACTTGAAACAAAATGAAGTTTGATCTCTCTAAACTGAACCTGTGATGTAGTTGCAGCTTCCATCCACATGGTGTCTGTGTTGTACAATGTGTTGGTTTATGGCCCTCATTCAGTCATCTGCACATCTATCCTTGTGCTAGGGGGATTGAAAGTGAAAACTTTATTTAAAAAAATGTATATCCATCAGAGAACAGAGCATATGGCTTATACAGGAAATCTTAGCCACTAAGTTTCTCCTCTACCACGTTTTCTTTTTGCTTATCCTGTCAAAATGTCCTAATGTGCACAATGTAGTGACTGCTTTTTTGTCTTTTGTTTTCTTAGTTATGTTCTCTGTATTTTATATGTTTGTGTTATGTGTAACGTTGCTGCCTTCTTGGCCAGGTCAGCATTGCAAATGAGATTCTATCTCAATGCTTTTATCTGGTTAAATAAAGGTTAAATAAAAAATAAATAAAAAACCGATACTATATATTTGTTACCTTTATTTAACATTATTACATTGACTAACTGACTACATTGTGTTTCCCTGCCAGTTGGCTATTGCAGGTGCCCCAGTGACTGTATGGATGGCGTACGACACAGGCTACACAGAGCGCTACATGGATGTGCCTGAGAACAACCAGCAGGGCTACGAGGAAGGCTCTGTGGCCCTGCACGTGGACAAGCTGCCCAGCGAGTCAGTATACACACTCATACAGACACAATTCTCAATAGTTCAGATATTATTGAAACCAATGTAACCATACTGCATGTTCTGAGTAATTGCAATAGATATTGTACTGGTTCCATCATGACTGCAGGGGTACTTCCTAATTACCGTTAACTCTGGCGTCATATTTGTTAATAATCCCATCGAAGTCCTATCATTGACAGTTTTGTTTTTAACACACGTTGGGACGCCCTTCATTCAACAGAAATGTGTCTTTGGGCTCATTCTATTCTTTGATCTAATGATTCAGAATTGTGAACCATTTGAGCTCAAAGCAATGCTTAAAGAAAATGTGTCACGTTGTCACAGGCATGTACACGTTGGTGAAATGTTCCTTCCATTACTTGGAAATGAAAAACAAACTGTTCTCCCCCATCCTTTTATAGCAGCTGTTATTAAAATCTGGAGAGGCAATATTAGGATTTTTAGTGCCTGTAGGCTCTGTTTTTAGGAACTGAAGGACCCTGGATACTGAACTTGTGTGCAGCTGCAGCATTTAAACTTTCTATAAATGTATTTGAACCCATGAAGGCTTTTCCTGTTTTAAATAAAAAAGGAAGGGGGGTGCAACATGTGTTTTGTATGCCTTACCGTTGTATGGAAGCGTATCATATTGTAACCATGTAATCCTTGTCATTACAGGCCCAACCGTTTGCTGATTCTCCATGGATTTCTAGATGAGAATGTGCACTTCTTCCACACCAATTTCCTAGTGTCACAGATAATCCGTGCTGGGAAGCCCTATCAGCTTCAGGTTAGCATTACAAGCAATATTTCACCCACTCACAAAGTTACCATGAAATATCTCCGGACTTATACCGTCATCATAAATATTTGAGTTTCCCTTAAAAAAATCTAGAAAACCATCTGAACATTTTTTTGTATTTTGGCTTAGAATACTAAAATGTTTAACGGTAGTAAAAAACAACGGATGAATTACTGTCAGGAATATATGTGAAGGGTGAGAAGATATCTTTCGAAGCAGTTTTTACATAATAGTCACAGAAAAGGTGTTTCAAACTGAACCTTTTGTATCATACTAAACTGAATACCTTTTGGGTTTTTGATTAACTAAACAAACATTTAAAGACACCACCTTAGAAACTACGATTGACATTCAGTATTTTTTGACATTTTGTAGACCAATCAAATAATCTAGAAAAAGAAAATGAAAAGGATCCTTAGTAGCAGCTCTAATTTTGTCGACCTGTTTAATTTCTCCAGGTTTACCCCAACGAGCGACACAGTATTCGCTGCCCTGAGTCTGGAGAGCACTACGAGATAATGCTGCTGCACTTTCTACAACAATACCTCTGAAATGAGACAACAAGGGAGAAGTGAAGTCCCCTCTGTCCTCCTTTACCCCTTCCGCTCACCCCCCATCTTTTCTCTCTCTGACTTCTGCACCCCAACCCTAGTCTCCACCTGTACACCATGTCATGAAGAGACTATCGGACACTCTGCAGCCAAACACTCTCTCCGGTGAACTTGTCCCCTCACTATACTTCCCTCTTTTGCTCTCTCTGTCTCATCAATGCCCCCCCCCCCCTTCTGCTCTGTGTACAGTCTGGGGTATGGTTTACGAGCACAGAGAAGTGGTGTCTCACCCTGAAAGCTGAACAAAGACAAGGACACATGGAGAAATGTTTTCAGGCTGTGTCACATTGACTCATCGCTCACCCACGTCCTCATCTCTGCAACCATTAAGGGTTTTTGCCAAATGTTAAAGTGTTGCCCCCCCTTCCCGCTCCACTTGTTTTATTCAGTTGAGTCAGTGGTAGGAACGGGGTTACAGTTCACAGATAAAAAAGGAAATCTATACACGCAGACATGAGCTCACACACTAAACGTAATGTGAAATACAGTACAAACACACACGTAGAATTGCAATATCCATACATACTGTGAGTCCGAACCTTGCAATTTGTGTAACCATGAAGTAAAAGTGAGACTCTTCCTCTATCCACTTGTTTTAAGTGTGTGTGTAGTTTAAAATAAAAATATTTTATGAATTTTTATTCTTTTTTTTAAATAAGTGCTGACATGAGCTGGCCGCACAATGATATTTGTGCGTCTCTCTCTCCCCTCACATTACATTGCTCGAGATGTCTGCTTGCCTTCTTAACACATAATTTATATTTGCCAAAGTACCTCATGACTCTTGATCATGCTGGTATTTACTTTTTTTACTGCAATAAAGACAACAGGAGGGTGAGCACTGGAGTCTTACAACAGCTTTGTACCACCGGAATACAATTTGTACATGATAATGAATAAATGTATGAATCAATCACATGCTCTGTGGCTCCTGTGTTGTTCTGTTTCATGGTTTGCAGGATGCAACCAGGCAATGTTTTTAGGAAATGCATCGTATAAACTGTTTTCTTATGTTGCTATTCCCCTATAACCCATAATTAGACACAATTATAGGCCTCCTCTCTTTCCTGAAGCTCCACCACTGCTGCAACATCACGGCTTTCAAGCACCTTGCTCTAGTATAGTAGCAGCTGCTTGATGGCCCTCTTGCCTCCTTCAATTTGCAGATAGCACAGTTGCTATGGAAACCTTTCAATAATAGGGTACTCCTCTCACAAGTGAGTGATGCCCAACCTTGATCTTATAACCACACACAGATCACATGGGAGGCAGATGGCCTTATTTAAATCACCTCAGCACAAAGGCCTGCTGCTCAGCCTCGGTGTGAAACATCTTCAAGCAGGTGATAAGGTATGATGAGGACATCTTGAAACTATCAGGAATAGTTCGACAAATGTGCTCCATGAAGCGTTAGCTAAAATGATTGACGCTCATTTCAGTGTGGTTAAATATGAAGCAACAGCAAAAAAGCAAGTTAGCTTAGTTTAGTATGAAGCTAACTCTTATCAAAAGTTACAAAATCTGCAAGCAATTTTAAAGCTCGCAACATTTTTTGTTTGCTTTTACACAAACACAAGTGTAAAACGGCTGTTTATGTGGGTTACTGTGTTATGTAACTAACGTTGAGAAAAGCTCGACTGGTTACTTCCAGCCTCAGAATAGTACAGAAATAACCTTCCCATTACCAATATTTAGCTTTAAAGGTTTCTGGTTAGCATTCTTTTTTTAACTTTCAGGGTTGCCAACTCTCACGCATCTGGCGTGTGACACACGCTTTCACTCTCAATCTCACGCTCTCACGCTGCCCAAACTATTCTCACGCCAAAACAAGAATACCGAAGACTAGAAAGGGTTTTGAAAACTTTTGTCACGTAGTGATCGTCTTCTCAATAGAACATCTTTGATAATGTCTTCTGGCCAATCAGAATCACGATAACGGCGTGGTGTACTTGCAGGAAGTCCCAACGGAGAATACTTTTGCTGTAATACATCTCGATACATCGATACAACATTACGTGTTGATAGAAATCAACACGTAATGAAATAAGACCCCACGGTTTGATGATTGATAGGTGTGTGGGCTGTCTTTCATTTTGACACACAGAACAATGGGGGCTATCCACCCTTATCCACAATGTAAAGTAATTCACAGCCTCTTCCCTCTTCTCTCTGTGTGGAGCAGCAGGCTCAGCTTTCAGAACAAAATAAGACAAAACTAAAATGGCATTCATTTTTTTTTTTAAATATGTCGTGTAGTAATAGATGTATTTATTTGTATTCTCAAGAGAGTACCAGAATGTGTATTTTATGTTAGTATTTCAAAAAATCTCCTGGGGGAGAATCCCACAGACCCCCCTGCAGGAGTTGGGTTTTCAGCATGTCAACTCTTTCACTTGTGGGGAAATTGCAGGATTGGCTCCAGGTCGCCCTTTTTATTTACTACAAGACAAATGTGCCTTTTTATTTCATACAGTTCAATTTGGATTGAGACAGGGAAATAATCTAAACCTCACGGGTGGCGTTTCACTGTCAAGGGGAGCGTGTATGTAATTACATTGCAAATGCTGATTTGAGCCCCACCACCACTGTATGGGTTAGCCGGCCCTATCAGATTACCCAACAAAAATACTCCGTGGCCGCCACTGCCGCCCCGTATTGCGCATGCGCAGATCTAAGATCCAGTAGAAATGAATAGGCCAAAATAGAGTCAAAGAGTAAGAGAGTGAGAGTGAGAGTGTGTTAATTAATATATTTGGCAGTTTGGAGTACGTCTGTAAATGTGTTTGTGTGTGTGTGTTTCATGTGCATCTCACGATAATTAATTTTGTTGGATACATTTTCCCGGAAATTATTGTGATAAACGATAATATTGTCGGCACCGTTGTATGACCATTTTAGACCACTGACATAATGATAATATATAATAATAATTAAAGTACATCCTTTCAAACTGCTAGTCACATCCTCATGTAAATGGAAATTTATCGAGTTCATTTTTATTTATCGTACGATAAATCAATTAATTGCTTATCGCGACAGGCCTATGCACACATAAAACAGTGGAAACAAACATGTGTTTGACTTTCATTAGTGAATGAAACTGTGTGCCCTTTATAGTCTGTGTCCAATATTGTGTATTTGTATATATTGTATATATATATCCTATATATATGCTAAGGTCCCGCTACTGACACGATAGCAGTCATTTTGTGCGCATATGTGTAATCAAACCCATGATATCAAAATGTCACTCCAGCCAGGTACCCAAAGTTGGCAACCCTGCTTTCAGACAGAGCCAGGCTAACTTCCGCTGATAGCTGTTCCCCAGTTCCACTTTATGCTAAGACAAGCTAACAGATTGTAGCATCATATTTAATTATCAATAATATCATCCTTTACCATCAGCAAAAAAGTGAACGGAAACTATTGAATACAACTTTGCAACATGTGTAAAACACAATGGAAATGTGTCTTTGGCACTGTCAAATAAGATAAAATAACATACACCACCATGACAATTCATAAACACCAAAAGAGGGGAATTGCATCTAAATGGCAGTCTCAATACAAGTGCAGAATGGTTTGTTCATCCACTGGCTTGGTTCCATTAACACATATTAGTTGAATTAAAATATCAGTTGATTAAAATAAGTTGACATGATAAGAAAATAAGCTCTAGAGTTACCATGAGTAAGACAACACTATTTTTGACAAGAGGTTTGTAGAGTAAGTAAGCTGCTCTTTATGTTTCTCTGCAGGTAACAAGGCTGTCCCCATGTCTTTACATAACGTATTGCGTGGCGGCCAGCATTGACTTTGACCTGCTTCTACACCGATCAGCTGCAGGCAGAGGTCAGTTCAGAGCACACTGCATCAGATCAGCTGTTTCTGAGGACGATCTTGAGCCACTGTCAGTGCTCAAGATCAGTAGGGATGAAGCACCTTGACAGTAAGCAGGAAGTTTTACAGTGAAAAATTAAAGCTGACACACTAAAGCTTCTCAAGTTGCCTTCCACGTAATGTAACTAAGCTTATATAAAAATAAGACAGAGACTAACCATGTGTGGCTTAATGCAATGGTTTAGTAATACTGTATGGGTTTAGACCTGCAGAGGATTCCAAAGAAAGTCTATTTTTCCACCCAGGTTTGGTTACTAAAAAAGATCATGTTCTGTTTAACTGAGAGGGTTATTTTTCAAGTCTAAAATGTAAATACATAGTGGGTAAATCAAAAGGCAAATCTTGATCCTTCGAAAATAACAATCTATGAACAATTCGCAATGTTGTATCCATATTTGTTTTTCTGATATTTGTGAACTTTTGTATTAGTTCTGTGGTCAGTTTACTTTCATGCTCGTATACTACCCTAAATTGTGTTGCAAACTTGTGGATACTTGTAGATAAGGGGCACATAACACACAGACAAAGCAATGATAGTTTAGAGACATTTTATTAGCTCATAATGGCCCCAAAATGGTTAGGCCTCTTAAAAAACAACTGTACATCTGGTAAACACGACAAGGACAATATAAATTACAGACAGCACCAGAAATATATATTTATATATATATGGATTCTTTTGCATTTAAATAAGGAAAGGGAACATCTAAAAGAACAAACACTGAAGTCATGAGAACAACAGATAATGTCACAACAAATCAGTAACAGTTATATTCTGAAAGACAGAAGACATTCCTTCGTACACTATGTACAAAACCATGCCTCTCTTTTTTAAATAGGTCAATATGACCTAACATCGTCAAAATCACCAAGGAAAAATGTCAGTAAAGAATATGCTTGATTTTTTCCACAATTGCAAATGGAAAACATGTTGTTCAAAAGGCTGGAATGGTTTTGAGTGCGCCATGAACATCAGTCTTAACACAGTTTCTGCTCATTATACTAGTTTACAGTGATTTATAACTTTACATAATGCTTTTGAAAACAAATGTCATCATGCTCATGCAAAAAACAAGTCTTTGTTTAAATTAGGTCATTATTTGGTCCGCACCATTGGGCTTAAAACTCCTACTTAATCGGCCTCCATTTCACCCCTACATGCATTCTTTACAAATCTGTTTTTGAGCTGGCAGTGCTGTTTACCTGCTACAAAACCACATTCAATCTCAACAACAGCCCACATATATAGTTAACACCACATGTCTGGCGATGCGCCTCTACCTGTTGCAAATCATCAGTGGCTCACAGCACAGTGGACGTGCCGGGACTCGCCCTGCAATGTTCTCTTGTCTAGGGGCCCCTGCTTTGTGCCAAATAGAAGGAATCCTTTGCAATGGTTCAACATATGAAAAACTTTCCATCTGTGGCTCTGGGTGCAGAGGAGGAATCTTTTCTTCTCTCAGAGAACAGAGCAGGGGAAACCTGGAACTCATGTAATGTGAGTTATTTTTGCTTCTTTTTTTGAGGGCCTTGACTTTGTTGTAAGGTCTCCCTTGCAGGGAGACAACCAGGGGAAATGATGTGTCTACCTCATCAACCAAGCATCAAGAAAAGAAAGAATAGTACAACATCTACTTCTTTCTGCCCCCTTCTTTTTAACGCAACTTTAATCTGCCTCTTTATATTTTTATGACTTATTGGTGATCACAGCGGGGGCGATCATCATACTGCTGGACTTCAGAGGGTAGTAGCGGCCCCTCCAGGTCTTCCAGAAGATGCTCTGCTTCCTCTGGTGTCGCTGCTTGGGAGGGGGACTCTGGAAGTATCTGCCGTTCAGGTTGGAGCGACCGCAGTTACTGAACCACCAGCCACCTAGCATGACAAAGGACAATATGATGTTAGGTGCTGCTTTCTAAGAGATATCCTGATTTTTAAAACTGGGAATAAAATCACATAATCATTTATCATTGTGATTGTCTTACCAGAAAGGTGCTTGGCGCAGTTGATGTCGTTTTTCAGGT